GAGGGCCCCAACCCGGGCGTCTGCATCTCCCTACCTGACTCAGTTTAACTGTCAAGGATTTCATGGATTGATGAGGCCATGTTTTTGTTTGGCCACCACTGGCTCTTTTCCAACCTGAACCTATATCAGCTAGCAATGCCCGTCGGGGGAGGCGGTGGTTAGGCATGCGCACCACGTGACCTAGCCATCTTAGTCTATGTAACTTTATAGCCTCGTCGACTGATTTTCCCTCTTTGCCCAACACTCTACGCCTAACGTCAACATTACTTACCTTATCATACCACCTAACGTGAGAAAGAGATCGCAGACATCTATGATCGAAAGCAGTCAACCTTTTCATGTCTTCAACGCGTATTGGCCATGTTGCAGAGCCATAGACAAGGACGGAGCGAACTGCTGAGCAGTACACACGTCCCTTGGTTGATAACCGGATGTCACGCCTACGCCAGAGATGGTGTAAGTCAGCGAAAGCAGCTCGAGCTTTTCGGATCCGTGCTGAGATTTCATCGCCAATCAGTCCGTTGGTGCTAATACAACTTCCCAAGTAGGTGAAGTGGTCAACATGTTCAATCACTTCACTCCCTATCACTAAGTTAGGGGTTGACGTGGTCCAGTCCTGTAGCAGCATCTTACATTTTGTAGGGGCGAATCGCATGCCAAACATACGAAGATTGCTGCTCAAGGTGTTCAGAAGACTCTGCATTTCTTCAGCATCCTCCCCTAACAGGACTATGTCATCTGCATATTCTAAGTCCATAAAGTTGATATACCTTATCTTTATTCGAACATCATTTGCAAACTGGTCGAATATCACCACATTCAGTAGCTTGTTGGATTCTGCAGAGTATTGTAACTTTTTTTTCACAGTTCACATCTTCGACTGCTTTTTCCAGTGCCTCAAAACATACTGTTACTTTTCTGAATTCGCTTACTGATATACTACTTATATCTAATTATAAGTAGTACTTAGCAAAATACTGCTGACTGATAGATTTTATGTCGAAGTCACTACTAATATGAATCAGAAAGTTATGCTATAATGCTATTTCGCTTATTTGCGTGATCATTATTTGAATATGTCGAATGGGTCGTTTATTGTCATCTGAATATTCTCAGTTATTAGAGGAAAACGCGGAGAATTTTCCCGCGGAATTATAAATTTGCTTATAGTAGATTTTATTCTTTACTCATTCTTTCTACCGACTCTATTTAAGGATGTCAAATTTCCGATGTTTAACACAATCGAGCCTGGCTAGCGAAATGAGAAGGTAGATATGTCTATAATTCGATAATGGAACATCTGATGAACGCAAGAAACTTAGCTCTACTTGAAAAGTCTTTCAAAATCCTATACAAGATCTGATCAAACCTCTTCAAGGGATTGAGATCAAAACATCTAGACATAGCTGAAACACTAAGTAACCATAGATTAAAGCCACCTCTATGAGTATGCAAAAGAAGTACGTCCAATCTTTTCCTTTATTATGGCCATAATAAAAATCAACTTTTTCTGTAATTATTATCCTACTACGCTCTTTAATACGAACTTCCTGTTCTTTTTTGTTATTATTACATTTTTAATCTCTATCTGTCATCGCATTATTCGTTCTAATTTGACCCATGACTGGGAAAAGCTCTAAAGCTTTCGTACGCCTTTAATATATATATATATATATAGTTGATGACTCCATAGGAAAGTAGGCCTTCCTTCGCTAGCCAGCTATACAATTCAGTCTAGCATGAGATGTATTAGATGGTAGGAGGGAATGTGCAGGAAGCGTTGAAACTGGGATTAGAGGAAATGTGTATATATCAACCAGGCGAAAATCCAAACGCCATTGAAACAGTTCATGTCCCTTCTGACACTCAAACACTCATCACCCAGTGCTGCAGTCTGAATCTCAGAACCTGCATAAGTTCCTTCAAGGTGACTGCAGATACGCCTTGTTCACTAGTGAGTGCCAGCTAGGACGATACCCAGGTCCAAGGCTTCCTCCGATCGAATCCAACAACCTAATACCAACAATTCACAATGCACCGTTATGGCAAGCCATCTAGCCTGTAACTAGCTACATTGCGAACTTGACTGACTGATACAATTCAGTCTACACCAACAATTGGTAGAAGTCGGAATTTAAGAACATTAGTTCGCGACTCAGTGACTGAATGCTCTAAGAGCTTCCTTAGTAATCGGAATGTCCTAGTTTGGAATCCTCGTCGTAAGCAGTTACTGCCGGTGAGTACCAACCTGTGTCGACGAAACAGCCGTCCAGTACTCCCTGAAGGTTTCCCAATGGTACTCTAACTGATGTCAACACGTGATTAATCATGTAGCTAATCAAATCTCCGCACACCAACACGTCCTAGTTCCAAATGACGAACAACAATCTTTGTATTCTCAATTAGCTCGAGTAGGCTAGCCAGAATTAGGACACTTTGAAGTGATTCAGCTCTCTGAGTGGATGAACTGGACCAAAGCGAGCGAAACCAACACCCTGTGTTGAGATCAATTCGATGTAGGCAGAAAGCATCGTTTTCTGAAGCAATCGCCCTTCAACTACTCATATGACATTATCAGTAGTATTTCGGATCAAAACTTTTTGTCCTACACACTAATCCTAATAGACTCCTAATATATCTTCGCTCAGTCAAAATTATACTCAGACATATCTTCACTTCATGTCATGCAAAATCATGTCAAAAACAAAGACAAAGTGAATACTCATCACATAGTCATTTTTTTCCTTTTGAGCTGTAATCAGGGGTGGTCAGTCAGTCAGTCAATATTACCATTACTTCTAAAATAAATGTGTGCATTATAGGACAAAGGTCAAGTCACGAATAAAACCACCGATGCCTAACATTTCGCTACACACTACAAAAAAATGCATTAATTTATGTTAAGCTACCAGTTCAATAAATTCAGGTTACTTAGTCATTACGTAATCATCCATGTCAATCAGACAGACTGATCCTATTTTCAGGTCACCCCGATATATTACGTAATACGGAACTGTTTAACTCTTCATACTCTACCGACTGGAAATAATAAACTACCAACAGGTCATCATCAAACAAACAATTAATCGATAATGCACTCAAACATATCTTCACCTAATCAAACAGACAAGTGTAATCTCAGTCAAAATCATACTTAACAAAAGCAAAAAAAACAAAAGCAAGAGTAGAGTGAACATTCATCACATAACTGCGTGAAAATTGTTACCAGGGATTAGTCAGCCACCATTACTTTACTATCACATCTAAAATATATTTTCATTAATAGACAAATAAATGCTAAATAGTCAGATCTTGTAAAGATGAGTCATGCATAATTGAGACCGTTGTAAGTGTAAGACACATAACTAATTAATGCAATTAATGCATTCCTAATGATACTATTTTATTGTGACCTGACATTAATGACTGACTGGTATAAGGACTTTACAGTTTCTGTGGAGATTGGATCGATTTACTGGTGTAGGTTCGCTTGCTTCACGCCCCTCCCTTTCTCTTTTCCAGGGTCTTGGATCAACTTGAATACCAGGCGGAAATCGACTAGCTGGAGGAAGAACAGGCTGCGAAGATAGGACTTCAGCTAAGCAGGGATATCTGGATGTGATGGAGAAAAACAACTAACAACGCTAGTGACAATGGGCTTCAGTAACTGTCAATGGGAGGCATTTGAATCAGGTCATATGCTTCGCTTATCTGGCCAGACAGGATCGTTTCAACTATACGAGACAGCACAGATGAGAATGTCAAAACCAGCCAGGATGAGAAGGATAAGACAGACCTTCATCGCTTTGAAATCTTTATAGAAATCTTCTGTACTCCTCCGCAGCATAAACGAAAAGTTTAGATTTTCAATACCAATGTTAAGTCAGTCAGTCAGTTCTATTATATGGATCAGAAACACGGTCAGTGTGTCACAAAAGTATTTCCAACAGGCCGCTGAAGACTTCTGTCAATATCAACCTTCGCTAACTCCAAAATGAAGATCAAATGGCTGACTGGAAAGAATTAGCAACAAGAAATTCTGAAAACGAACCAACCAAGAACTCATAGCTCGACAAACATGCAGAAGAAGGTGCAGATGGATCAGACACACGATGAGGAGACCGTTGAATGACATTCCACGATAGGCAAATCACCGAGTGGTCAACGAATAATTTGGTTTTATTCCGAGGCTAACATAGAGGAGATCGTCTAAAGAGGGGGTGAGACATTATGAACAATCATAGGGTCAGCAAAAGGCAATCACAGAGAATGGGATAAGGTGGAGATATGCTGCTGAAGCCTTATGTTCCACTTGGAACCCAAGGGAACAATAATTTCATAATAATATGTAGGCATCGCCATGGCATTTTGCAGCACTGTATAACTGTATAGCATTGAAAAAAACGCTAAGAAAAGAATATTCTTTATTACACTAGCAATAGAAAACAGTCTGAGTGAATATGTACCTTCGACAGAATTATAACCACTGAGAACCAGATTACTTCCAGAAGAATCCCTGCCTATCAGGCCACAATGTGCGACGCTTGACAATACATACTAGCTAGCCAGTTAGCAAAGATGATGTAGGTGGTAGGGCCGGAATGGCTGAGTAGGATTCGAAACTGCTACAGTCGGATTTGCATTATATTTCACTGGTCTGCTATTTTAGAGTTCCTGATAGGAAATTTAAAATTAATTTTGGGACTAGTTGGTTAAAACAAGAATATTTAATCAGGCCAGTATTCATTTTTTTGTTTTGATTTACAGCTTGATTCCACACTGTATTTTTGGTACATGTATGGAATTTTCAGCGTGGATATCGGAAGCCCAAATTTTGCAGGCCGACCATTCCATAGCAGGTGTGCGTCGGCAGGGCATCGAACCTCGGACCATGTGCATGGTCGGCGAGAGTCCTAACCACTGTGCCACCGACGCACGTAACGTAGACTATATTCATGAGAAAATAAATAAAACCATATTCAACCGTGTATTATACTTACCTATCAGTGTAATGAACACAATGTAAATTCTGTATCGACAGACACTTTTCATTAATTGGTATTGGACAATAGGAGGACTGGTAACAATCATGATGTAAATCTAAGGCTTCTATCAAAGTCGAATACTTAAAACGATATTTAACATCGTGTGAATTGACTCCAGTCGGCTTAGAATTCTGAAATAAAAAAAATAGCAAATAATCACAGATTATGACATTTGCTTATCCTTGAGAGATTGAACACTGTGGAATTAATATCGTGTAGAAATCGTTAGCAAAGATTTAAACAATGAGTAATCTGAAATTTTCAAGAGTTTGTTTGTAGGAATTTGATTTGTTTCAAGTTTGAACACGGATCGATATCAGTTAGAGAAACTTCGGAAAACCAGCAGTGGAGTACTGGACAGCCACTTGCTTCGTTTGGGATTCATCGGAAGTACGAACCCAGATCTTCCAGTCACAAGGTGAGCTCGTAGGCCATCCAGCCACTGGGACCCGATTCAATTGCCAGCCTATGAATTCTAACTTCTACCAATTCGTGACATATTTAACGTGAACAGCACTAGTCAATGTCATCGGTGAGCATTTGTCCTGACTATCGATCGGATGGACTCCACCGATGACAACTTCTCAGTGGAACTACAGCCAACTTCATCCTGTAGCCAGTCACTGGCGATGAAAACCAGGTTAATTTTCATGAGTTAGTTTTTGAAGTTACTCGACTGATAGTGGCTAGCATTCGAATCTAGGATACATGTGTGGTTTAACTATGAGTAAAAAAAATACCTCCTATTAATCTATCTCAGACGACTTCATAATTCTGATAGCTGAATTCAATTCATTCTAAGTCTGACAGTCTTTTACTCCGTGATTTCACTACACACAGGACAGGTCTAGTCAGATAAATACAGCTGTCTGAAATGCTTAACCTGTAGACACCTGAGGAAATCAACCTTAAAATAATCCTTTTCTTTGAAATAATGTGATAAACGGTGACTAGCAGTGGTATCCAGCACGAGAATTTCGTCTTACTTCGGACTTGCCACCTGTACGTGCCTGAGGCCGAACACTTCGGTTCATTCAATCAAAGGGAAAATCAGAACTGAAGTGAAAATGAATAATAATAACTGACACATGTTGCATAAGAGGTGACTCTCAGGGCCTGAGTGGTCTAGTGGATGACTCCATGGCATTTGAAACGAAGGGTACTAGGTTCCAGCCTCAATTGGAAAACCATCATTCGCCAGGGAATCCAGGGACATCCAGGTGATGAGTGTGAAATAAGATCAAATGAGCACCCTGGATTCAAATTACTGTCATTTTAGTTATTTGGCACAAAAGAGACCTATTGACAGATATTCATCATCGTGCTATTTTGCTAGTTAAGTCTGTTATGTAACCTAAATGCCTGTGTGTACGTATGAGTCTACAAATTCACATCAATATGCATATATATATATATATATATATGCTAGTGAACTTTGTAGCCATACTTCTACCGATAATAAATATTATAGGTCAATACTTCTGATAAACAATGGTCTGCCAAATAAATAAATAATTTTAAAAAAACAAAAATTTTAGAGCTGACAAGATTTAATTTATTCTGTATAAAATCATATTTGTTTTAGGCGTATATGACACTTCATAGGTTTCAGTGAATATCCTTTCTCAATGAGTCTAATAGAAGCTGATTTAACTGGCTACAGGTTTGAACACGAATTGATATCAGTTAGAGAACCTTTGGAAAACCAGCATTGGAGTACTGGACAGCTGTTTAGTTCCGGTTTGGGACTCTACATCAGTACTCATTCACAGAAGTTCGAACCCAGGACTTTCCAGTTAGAAGGTGAACTCGTAGACCATTCAACCACTGCGACCCAAACCAGGACGAAACAGCTATCCAGTACTCTGGTGTTGGTTTTCCAATGGTTCTCCCTCTAACTGATGTCAACTCATGAACAAACCGGAAAAAATTAACAGTGAATAATTGTTTCATTCTAATCTAAAGCTCTTTTACAGTGCACATCTAAAAGAAGTCACCAGAGATTTAGTCGAAGACAGTGATGCCTTGTGAGGGAGAAAGTTTTAATGTAAATGCTTTAGATAGGATCCAGTGGCTCATGATATTTAATTTTTGTCAGTTTGTGATGTAATACACATAAAGTTCTGTGTGTTCAGTGATTGGGTCAAGAGTTAGTATTTTTATCTTGTGTAGGCTTATTGATTTTCTGGACTAACAAAACAAAGCCACAAATACCCTATCAAAATACCCCTCCGATTAGAAACCTATTTTAACAACAATGCCCAGGATTTTTGAGAATAAACGTTAATGGAAGTGCAGTTTATTGCTTCAGCTACTAGATTTCAGCTTATCACAGTAGCGTTTATACACCGTAAGTATCCACTTTGACCATTTCACCACAAATCTCAGAATTTATTAAAATCTAAATAATTCTGCTGAAGAAGTTAAAGCTTACACAGAGAAACATTCGGCCACAGTGTTAACTCTGCTTACAGCCTTGAAAATCCTACGTGACATAATAAAGGTCCTTCTCATCAGTTCAGTGATTCATAAGGAAGAAAGAATCTAATACAGGATCCAAGTTAGATCACGAACTGACTTCATTTGGTGAACCACTAAGAACCAGACAGTTTTGGACATCTAACTGTTTCGTCTTTGTTTGGAACTCTTCGTCAGTATGCGCTAACAACTCAACCAGAGGTCGAACAGTCATCAAATTTGAAATCACCTGAGTGCCTGCCAAGCAACACCCACAAATTAATACAGATTTATAAATTTCCAGATGAGACAAGAGGTTAAGTTGTGCCACAGTCAAAGGTTTTATAGTTAATGGAACGCAAGGAGTTGAGTAATGTTGTTTTAGAAAAAATAATCCCAGAAAGACAGCGTAAGCATTATCCTAAGCGTTTCAGATACACTGAGTTCTCAAGTGGCGAGAGAAACTGGACAAAGATCACAAGAATTTGAATGACTGCTTATAAGCCTAAGGGTCCCATTGGCTTAATGGTTTGCGAGCTAGCTCGCCTTATAACCAGAAGGTCATAGGTTCGAATGGCGGTGGGTGCATACTGCTGAAGTCGGTAGAATGCTCGCCAGCTATGCAAGAGGTTCGGGGTTCGATCCTCGGCCGACGCACTTCCTCACCTTGCTAAGCCAGTGAAGAGAAAGGGTTGGGCATGAGGCTAGCAACCCCATTCCGTAAAAACAAACACCACTGCTACTGAAAATTAAAGCTTCTAGCTTGAAGCCCTATGTTCCACTGAGAGTGTAAAGAAATAAAATAATAAGTCTAAGGTGTTAAATAGATCGACAAAATAGTAAACTAAAAGTATATTACTAAGTGAAATGATATTTTAGATTAGCGATACAATAATAATATACAGTAAGCCAAGTAACTTACATCATTCCCCGTAGCTGCCAGATTTAACCATCCTGTCAGGCTTTTCAATCTGTCTAATAGATACGTCAGTTTTTCATCTTGAGCGTATTCAAATGAAAAATGATTATCATGGTACACATGATATACAAGCCTGCATGACGATTCAAAAATACTTTGTAGAATAGCAAGAGACCTTTTTAAGTCCTGTAGATGTCAAAATTAAATAAAACAAATGAATGAATAGGTTTAAATACTGTAAACACATGAAATAAATCATAATCAGAGAGGTGGATAATATGTGTAAGGAAACAACTAACACATGAATAGACAGTTAATACGTTTGAAGGCTGTTTTCATCTGTATATGTGCCGCTTCCCATAAATGGTGGAAGATATACGCCCCCCCCCGCAATATTAAATCTCATAAGCAAAGATGAAGAGCACATGTATTAAATCACTTGACCCCCCCTTTCTAGTGCATCATGAAAGCTTCATCAGTGTAGGGAATCAACTGACATATCGATAAGGAGCCCAGCAACCAGTTCCAATAGTGTTAGGATTTGTGGACTACCAGTTGGAAATAAATAAATAAATGAGGTCGTAATCCTGTTTATTTGTTCGCCTACATATCCTCGCTCTCTAGAACTGCACAGACTCTAATCCTCAGATACTGGATTTATGAGAGATTGATTAAAGTAACTCTAGATTCTATGACATATCCAAATCAGCCTAAAACTTTGGAAAACTAGAAAGCACTTCGCCGTCATTTCATCCTACTTAAGAACTCTTTATCAGTGTTCATTCTCTACAGCAAGTTGGAATCCAATACCCAGTGGTTAACTACTTCTCTTGGTTCGTGATACAGAACGCCTAATATCTTTCTCGAACATCGAGTAACCTTCCCACCCACCCCCTCCTTAAACTTGACAAACTTAAAAACTGCTGCTTAATAGACCGGTAGTAATTACCAGAAAACCTTATAATATTTGGTAGCATCACTCAGGAGACCAGTATGCAAGAATACTGGAACTCCTTGAAAGCGGTATTGGAGGAAACCTGTGCAGCTGTCTTAGTAAGGAAGAAGAGGAAAGACAAGGAAAGGCTCTAAATGGACACTTGGAAGCTAATAGAAGATGGAGGATGGTGGGACAGATGAACCAATGCAAAGAAGGACAATAGAAGAAGAAGCTCAGTTCAACGTACATCTCACTGAATAAAGAGTGTTAGAAAAATAAAAGACAATTAACTCAGCAAGACACTGGCAACTGGAGCGGAACAGGCTACAGGTAAGAGGGACTTCACATCACTATATCAGATAAACAGGTAGTTATCGGGGAAGAAATCAGCACACTGAAAGCAATGAAGGTTATTGAAGGGAACCAAACAACCAAAGAAGAGGAGCAAAGAAAAAGTAAGGAGGACTACTTCAAACGACTCTCGAACAGATGGCCACCTACAACTCTCCCAGAAGTGCCACCAACAGCCAAAAAACAGTCTGTGAACAATAACCTTCCGTAAAAAGTAGAAGTCTTGTATACCATGAAGTTACCAGAAACCGGGAGGATGGTAAGTTCAGACAGAATTCCCACGAGAGCACTAAAAAGGGGTCCAGAGATCCCCAGTGGATGCCCTGATACCACCGATTCAGAAAGTTTGCAAGGAAGGAAAGGTACCTACTAACTGCAAGGAAGGCTACCACGTCAAACTTCTAAAGAAGGGAGACTTGAGTCTTTGCGGGAACTAGCACTAAATTTCAGTCCTATCCACACCAAGCAAAATATTAGGTCGTGTCATTCTTGATGAGATACAGAGGTGCTTTGAATGCGAAACTCACCCTCTACCAGAACAATTTGAATTGAGGAAAAAAATCATGTTGCAATCAAATTGGAACTCTACGCATCATCATCGAACGGAGTATAGAATGGTAAGCAAATCTCTACCTCAACTTCATCGATTTTGAAAAATCCTTCGACGGCGTTTACACTAGGTAATTTGGAAACTACTTTAACACCATGGAGTGTAGTGCCACAAATTTTTATCAACCCTGTTCAACAGCTATATGGTGATGTCACTGATTCACAGCAGAAAACTAAGAGAAGCATTTTGAGCGAAGACTGAAGTAAGAAAAGACTGCCTATTATCACTGGTGATGTTCCTGATTGTGGTGAACTTGATCATGCAACAGACTGTGGGCGGCCAGAAGATGGGAATACATTAGACCGATAAGAAGAGTTCTGGACTTCAAGGATGATATACGTCTAATGTCACACAAACTCAAAGATCTGGAGGCGAAAACCGGCAGATTTTCAGGAGATACAGTCAGCGGAGACAGGAATTCAAGTAAATAAAGAGAAGGCCGGGATGATGAAGACACCTGGTCAGCAACAACAACAACAAGTACCACCCACCATCAACGGAAAAATTAGAAGGAAGTGACTCAACTACAGGTAACAGCCCGAATGAAGATTCCAAAGCAACTACTCTAAAACCAATTTAGAAATTTGCTGCACTCAGCATTAAGAGCAAGATTCAGATTTTCAACATCAGTGTCAAGTCAATACTTTTATGTGGTCCAGAGAATAGACGTCCAACAGCCTGACGCAAACTTTTATCGACAGCTGCCTTCCCTTTATACTTAAATTCAGGTGTCTGGTAAGGATCAGCAACAGCGAACTCTAGGAACGAACCAACCAAGTACATATTGGTCAATAAATATGTCGAAGGGAATGGAGATGCGTCAGACACATACTAAGGAAACCAGTGAGTGACATCTCGAGCCAGGCCATTGCTCAGGTGGAACTTGGATTGAGTGTAAAATGTTAATAACGTACAAAATAGTAAAAACTGGGATACTCTTACTTCAAATTTATAGATAAAATCATTTATTTCTTCAATCCATAAACCAATTTTCGTATTACATGAACATTTGTGCACATTTCTGACCACCAAGAAGTTTATTGTTCTCAATTCGAATTCTTTTAATACTGACTGGTATTCATGTTGGAATGAATTAACCTGAAACAATAGAGTACATTCATAATGAAAATACAAAATTCCTACAGAGTAAAAATACACAGGGACTCTAACAATAACTTCCTCGATTAAATAAACGTTTTACCAGCCAAAATAAGTATATATATATGCAAAAGTACGATTGAAATGAGAAGTGCGTCACTTGTATGTACGGCTTTACTCTAGTATTCAGTAAGTGTAGAAGCTTAATTAGGCTGGGTTAAGTAAATAAACATAACTAGGCCTTGTATCTGCGCCTAAGATCTAAGGAAGACTCATTGCATTTAGACGCAGCCTGCTTTGAGTAATGTTTATTGGGGACATTAATTATACCACTTCGCTGCAAAAGCCTCCGTAAGAGTTGTGGAGAGTTCCAGTGGCCGAAAATAAAGAGTTCAAATCTGTAAGCCACAAGTACACCTCAAGAATGTAAGAAACATCTACATTCTTTGTATTCTCAATTAACTCGAGTAGCTAGCCAAAATTAGGATCGTTTGGTGTGATTCAGCTCTCTGAATGAATGAACTGGACCAAAGCGAGCGAAACCAACACCCTGTGTTGAGATCAATTCGATGTAGGCAGAAAGCATCGTTTTCTGAAGCAATCGCCCTTTAACTACTCATATGACATTATCAGTAGTATTTCGGATCAAAACTTTTTGTCCTACACACTAATCCTAATAGACTCCTAATATATCTTCGCTCAGTCAGAATTATACTCGGCCATATCTTCACTTCATGTCATGCAAAATCATGTCAAAAACAAAGACAAAGTGAATACTCATCACATAGTCATTTTTTTCCTTTTGAGCTGTAATCAGGGGTGAGTCAGTCAGTCAGTCAATATTACCATTACTTCTAAAATAAATGTGTGCATTATAGGACAAAGGTCAAGTCACGAATAAAACCACCGATGCCTAACATTTCGCTACACACTACAAAAAAATGCATGAATTTACGATAAGCTACCAGTTCAATAAATTCAGGTTACTTAGTCATTACGTAATCATCCATGTCAATCAGACAGACTGATCCTATTTTCAGGTCAGCCCAATATATTACGTAATACGGAACTGTTTAACTCTTCATACTCTACCGACTGAAAATAATAAACTACCAACAGGTCATCACCAAACAAACAATTAATCGATAATGCACTCAAACATATCTTCACCTAATCAAAAAGACAAGTGTAATTTCAGTCAAAATCATACTTAACAAAAAAAAAAAAACAAAAGCAAGAGTAGAGTGAACATTCATCACATAACTGCGTGAAAATTGTTACCAGGGATTAGTCAGCCACCATTACTTTACTATCACATCTAAAATATATTTTCATTAATAGACAAATAAATGATAAATAGTCAGATCTTGTAAAGATGAGTCATGCATAATTGAGACCGTTGTAAGTGTAAGACACACAACACACACAAGCTTCACTAAGCTTGTAAGAAACATCTATATCACGAAATGCTGGATTTCAGGTTTACAGAACTCTTTATCCGAGCAAGCACAGCGGTTGAATGTTCAAATCACCGGTGTGCAGTTGGTGATTTGGCTTTAAGACAGTATAAACAGTGCTTAGTTTAATGTGATTGTTGGTAAGGATATAAGAGTTTCAAAACAATTAAGCAACTGCATAGGAAAACGTATTAGCAGTGAAAAACGTGATGAAGAATGAAACTGTAAAAGAGTTTGGCAGGTATGCAATAAGCATATGGATACCTGAGGACACTTGCTACTTCTATGTCTACTTGATATGTGAAAAAAATGTGACAGCATTGGTAGTCATAAAAGGAAAAAGTACCTTATAACAGGCGGATAACTTATTTGGAGCAAATTGAGAAATGTTACCTCTTTAATCGATTCATTCTAACACTTCATGAACAGTGGGAATAAAGCAGCTGATCATCTAAAAGAAGAGTATAAACTGCTGCCACATCCCCTCCTTTAACTTGATTTTGTCGTAAGACATCAGCAGAGATACTTAAAAAGTGATAGTAATTGCCTTGAGGTTAACTATTATTCCTTTGATTTTAGCGCAATACCAGGGCTTTAAGAATCTACTTCTCCACCAGTGTAATTAAATGTAATTGAAAATCAGAACGACTATGCAAAATCGAGTTGTTTTGCTAGGGTTTACTCAAACATTTTACAGTTCAATATCCTTTTTTAAAATAATCACTTTGACCGAAAATAATACAGGTAAGATTTTGAAACATATAAAGAACATCTGCTTGTAAAATTTATTTTGACTCAAAAATGAAAGAAATGTTGAAAGTTAAGGAAACTTACGGCATTGCTAAACTGTTGCAAAAATGCTAAATGCACTCGATTTCTAGAGGTTTTGAAGAGGGTGGTAAACTTTGATTGCAAAATATTTATATCAGCTGCGATCATTTCTCGGAAATCCGTTCTACAGAGTGATCCCAGATTTTTAAATATTTCTAAAATAAAGATGCGTCATTTGAAATTAGAGTAAATTAGAAGACAATTATAGACATATGCAAATACTGTACAATTCTATACACAGACCTATACTTATAGTTTTGTATTATTTGTGCTTCTGATGAAATCCAAACCATAAGAAAAACGAGATGAACCAGTGGGAAATTATCCAACTTAACTACAGATGTATAGTCACAGATCCAGTTACCAAAGAAATCCAAAGTAATGTCATGTTTGTCTCCCTACCTTTCATCTGGACTTACGAGCATGCAGATTAAGAGACTAACGTTCGGAGTCAAAAATAATGAGAGCATAAATATTCAGACTACATAGTGCTATCTCAGTAAAGACTCGTAACTACATGTCATATGCGTTTTTATCACTATTATAAACAGATTTTATCATGTACGGAAAATATGAGCAACAGGTTTGCTGATGCTTTTGTGTGCCGGAGAAAAATTAAATTTTTGGCTTCACCTGTTAGAGCCATGACTGTAACAAGTTCTTACTCAATCAAAGTTTTTTCACTGTATTTCCTAATGAAGACTCTTTAGAAGCAACCGTCTTGAAATTCAGCGCATTTCTGATAAGGGTAGACGACCACGTGGGTATTCTTTTTGAAATATATCAAAACAAGATAAGACTGTGTAATCTAAAATCTCCTGACGGAATTTAATCATCTGTACCACATGGGTTATCACCAGCAAATAAATGAATAGCTGCCAAAAATTTAGTTACCTTTGGAGAGAATTCCACGGAAGAAAACACGCCACTAACCACTTAACGATAACGACTGATGTGTTTAAAGAATAATGATTCTTAGGTCATTCAATATTCAATAACAACATTGAAATATGAAAAATTAAATTTCACCACAAGATTATGTTGTCCAATATCGTTTTTACGAGCTAGTATAGATCAACTTGATTTCTTTGTGCTCGCCTCTTGATTCTGAGGTATAGGCTCCTGATCTTCGGTAAACTTCTGCGTAGCTCGTCCCGCCACTCGACTGTCGTAGCTCTGGTTGACTCCAAAGGGAGCAGGGCTGGGATTAATTACATGTCGTTTGTAGTATGCGGTGTGTTGGGACTTTGTTATTGCTGTTAGTGGAGTTCATCCTTTTACCGGTTAGTCCTCCGGTATCGTCGTCAAAAGAAAAGAAATAATAAGTTTGGTTACGCAGATCGTAAGAACCTTCCTGTGCGAATTGTATGTCCCTGTTACCTGAGAAAGATATTTTGTGAAGGACCTTAAAGAAGAATATTAGGTTTATAATAAGTCGCCTTGTCCAAAGTGGGTCGAGTTTTAGGATCATGCACCGTGAGATGTAGTCTTTCTTACAATCGTAGCCAAGCAGTTTTGAGGTAAAATATCGTTGGATACTTTCCATCCTTAGCTTGTCGCGTGTGCGAGTGCTGCTTATAATAAATGGACAGTATTCTAGTAGTGGTCTGACACATGTTTTGTACAGAATTAGCTTGGCTTCATTGTCGTGAAAGTTCCTGAGTATGCATCCTAAGAGCATCCTCGATTTTCTAGTCTGTGATGCTACTTGCTCTGAGAATGTCAAGTCACTAGAGTACCTCAAGCCTAGGTCAACGACACTTCGGAGTCTTGTTAGGTTAGCAGATTGGAGCGTTAATTTCAGGTCAATTGAGGGTGCACCGAAGCAGATCCAGCCACATTTGTTCAGATTAAATTGGAGATTCCATAGGGACGACCAAGCAGCCATTTTATCTAATTCCTTCTGTACTACATTCTCGAAGTTCCCTAAGTCATCAAGTTGGAATGTATAAGCTACTTTTAGGTCATCTGCAAAGATGAATGGTTTCCCGTGCGTGAAGCAAGCGCATATGTCATTGATGTATAGTGTAAATAGGAGGGGTCCAATGACACTACCTTGTACTACACCAGAAGTGATAGGGCTAGGTTTGGAGGTTGCAGACCCGAGTTTAACTATTTGGGACCTATTGTTAAGGAATGATTTAAGCCATCCTAATAATGGGTCACGTATTCCTAAGGAGTTCAGTTTATTTGTTAGCAGTAAATGGTCAACACGGTCAAATGCCTTAGAAATGTCAAAGTAGATGACAAGTACTAGTTGCCGTCTGTCACGACTGCTGGTTACAAAATTGAAGAAGTCTAGGTGACATGTTAAACATGATCTGGATTTCAGGAATCCATGTTGGTTCGGACTTATGATGTTGCAGCTAAGCATATGTTTGATTAAGTTATCTTTGACTAGTCTCTCCATGATTCTAGATGCTATAGGTGTGATATTGATTGGCCGGTAGTTACTGACTTCAGTTTTCGAGCCAGATTTGTGTTTAGGCATAATGAATGTTGTCTTCCATATGTCAGGGTAAGTTTGGGTTTCTAGGGACATTGTGAATATTTTAAGCAGTAGCAGAGGAATGTCAGGGCCACCATATTTATAGAAGTAAGATGATATACCGTCGGTACCGAAACCTTTTGAACTTTTGAGGGTTCTTATAGTTTGGTTAATATCAGCGTAAGTGAATTGAACAGTGCTAATTTGGTTTGGTGTGAGTGGAGTTGGAGTTTGTGCCATTTTAGTAATAGGGTGTATATCGAGTAGCTGGACTGAGGGCTTAAGGTAGTTACCTGCAAACGTTTTGTTGAATAGTTCACATATGTCTGCAGAGTTAGTGCATAGCCTGCCTTTGTCTATGAGGAGAGAAATGCTGTGATTTTTGCGATTCATTCGCTTCCTTAAGATTTCTGTGAGTGCATACACTCTAGCAGGACTGGCTACTGCGATGCGTTCTTCCTTTCTCATACGGAAATCTCGAGCTTGTGAGATGGAGCTAAGGGTGTTAAGTATTAGACCTAGAGTGCCAAAGTCGTGGTGTTTGAAGTAACTTGTTGAGAGTTTCTTCAGTTTCTTACGATCCTTTGGTTTTATGAATGACTTTCTGTGTGGGGAAACCTTTAGTGTTTGGAGTGGAATGACAGCATCTAAGCATATGTTTGAGTTATGGTAGAAGATGGTTAGGGCTCTCGATAGGTCATCAGTAGTGAAGTATTCATCCCATTTGGAGGATCTTAGCATCGATTCAACTAAGGCCCAGTTTGCCTTACTATAGTTCCTATATATTACTTGTTGTGAAGTGGAGGTATGAGATGCATTGCTACTCAGCGGAATTGGCAGTGCACACATCACTGTTTTGTGGTCGCTCCCTGGGAACTCAGAACCTACTAGCGTTGAAAGGGGGCTTATATTGTGGCAGAAGATTAAGTCTAGTACGTTGTTACCTCTTGTGGGAGTAGTGACAGTTTGTTTCCAGCCAAGTATATCCAGTGTGTCTAAGAACTTATCAAATTTAGTTGGACCTGTGGGTATATCCCAGTTGATTTCAGGTAAGTTAAAGTCCCCACATAGGATCTTATGATCGTATTGTAAGTCGGTTAATTGCTCCAGAGTATTAATGAGTTGGGTCTCGTAATTACTAAAGGTGCCAGGTGCTCTGTAGGTGCATCCAATTAATGCTGTTACGTTATTTAAGTGTACATTAACCCATAGAGTCTCAGGCATGTTAAGTGTACTACTTTCTAGCTGTGATACAGTAAGTGCATTCAGAAAGTACATGAGACAACCCCCTCCCTTACCACCTTCCCTGTCACACCGAAAGTGTGTGTAGTTATCTAAGCTTATTTCATCATCCAGGATGTCCGAATGACACCAAGATTCAGTGATGACAATTACAGGGGGTTTGTATATTACTGTGAGTGCTCTGAGCATCGGCAATTTATTTAGAACAGATCTAGCATTTATGAGGATTACGTAAAGATGAGAGTTGAAGTAGCATTTGAAGTATTTAAGTTCGTTAGTCAGCCCCGAATATGGTTCAGCACCCAGTAGTTCTGCTGGACATGACGATCCTATGTTAAGAGGAGTTCCAGCATCATGCTCACCTATGTCTATCGAGTTGTTGTGTGCTGTTTTCGGTGGAGAATTAGGAGTTGGAGTACTGGATTTGCTATAGACTAAGGAACTTTTATTTTTAGTTAGGTTACAGAAGTGGGTAGGGTTCTTTATTTGGCCTATACTTGTGCAAGTGTCAAGTGTGTCCAATGGATACGGGTGCACTAGACCGTTCCTGTTTTCATGCAAGGAGGGAGCCAGCACTAGTGGTTTAGGAGTGTTAACATCCCTACCAGCTGTTTTTTCAACGCTGACAGGGACGCGGGGGATAAAAAATGATTGGATCCTTGTGATGACCATGGCTTATTATTCCACCTATTGTTTGATGCTAGTTGTGTCCTTGTGTGGGTTTCGTGTGTACTGCATTTTGGGTTAGTTCCCAGCAGACTTGTACCATATATCCGGTCGAAATTTGTTTGTGTGCCATACTCTGAAGACCCTGAGTTGTTGGTAGCCGAGTTCTGACTATTACCACTTGTACTATTTAGGGTGACATTGTTGTGACATTGGATATTAGTGTGTGCCACGGTGCGATTTAGCACGTTGTGAGTGCTAATACTATTAACCGTGGGGAGTGTGGGCTTATTTAAGCTGCCACTGTTTTTGTTGGTATGATTTAGGGGCATATTTTCCTTATCTTTACCAATGGAATTATAGCTAGGAGAGGACAAAGTCGAATTTCGGGGGGTTTTAACTTTTTTTCTGGGGTTATTTAGTGGCATTTTAGATTCTGCGGTGATGGGTGGTATGGTTTTATTATTTATTTGGTTACAGTCTAGTGGCCTTTCGGCTGGTGTTGCACTCTGATGGGATATTTCTGTGTGTTTTGAGAGGGGTGATGCGGTGGGGTCTACTGTATCTTTCACAGGGTTGGGAATAATGGCTGCTTGCAATGTCCTATTACCTATTTCACAATTAGTCTTAGTGAGATAGTTGTGTGCGCGCCTTTCTATAACTGTTTTTTCCACCCCGACCTTTATATGTTTGTAGTTTCTGGCTTGCGATAGGGTGTGTTGGGAGTGGATGAATTTTCTGGTCTCTGCCGGTGTTTCGAACTGAAAACGAATAGGACAACACTTTTCATGTTGACTCTTCTTCAGCCTGTAGCACTTAGTCTTGGAGTTAGGCATTTTCGCTTCACTAAGTAAGATGCGCTGTACCTTTTTTAGTGCCTCATTGTCCGGAACGTTGTAGACAATAGCACTCAGTTTTGCGTCGAGTCGTTTTGTTACTTCTGTGGTAACAAAGTTAATGAGGTTATCTACCTTAGTTACCGATTCTGTGTCAAGCTTGTTAAGGTTTACCGTTTTCATGAGGATAGTTAGAGGTGTCAGTTCACAGACCTGCGATCTGATATCGCTGATCTGATCTGATAATTTGGATATCTCGGTATTGGTTTCGATGTTTCCAGCATTTACTGACTTACTGTTTTTTATTTCCCTTAACTCAGCCTTAAGTTCTCCTATAGACAACTTTAGAAGTTCTATTTCTGAAGATAGTACTGAAAAAGAGCTTGATGGCTGGAGTTTCTCCATAAGCA